ACAGCCTGGATAAGGAAAGTACAAAGCCATCTATGTTTGGTTTTCGTAGTGGGAGAAAACCCATCTTTCCTATTTTCTTTTTTCGTAGTGGGAAAAAACCCAGTTCTTAGTGAATAGCACATGACAACCTAGTGAATGTACTTTCATGCAGGTACTTGGTCAAGTACCCTCACAAGTTTTGTCCAACATTCTCGCGCTTTTTTGCAAGTAAACCAGGTACTTGCCAAGAAAATCAAATACTTGAATTGCTTTATCTTCTCGTCAAGTCCTTTGCCAAACACTTGTCTAAGTAATCCCAAGTACCTGTAGGAGGTTCAACAAGTAAATCAAGTATCTGGCAAGTATTTTCAGGCATTTATCAAATGGTACTTTTTCAAAATACTTGTCCAGTGTATATCAAGTACCCGTGCAAATTTGCAAGTAAACAAGTACCCACTCGCCAGTACATTCACTAGGGTATGCATTTATGTATATTGATAAATATGTGCACCAAAATATAATATACATGGACAGCTTTTCAAGTCTGTATTGTAATAAGAAAGTTACAGTAATACATCCTTCAGTTATTCTGAATAATATTTGCTTTTCCGATTCATAGAGGTCTAAGTTTGATGTCAAACAAATTTTGTTAACAACTGCATCTGTAACCACGAAAAGGGTTAGCTAAAATGAGTTGTTGTATATTCCAATTCCAGATTCGTCTATATAAAAAGAATGCTATGTATCCGACAATAAAACCACCAATTGGACCTGCAATATATATCCATGAGTAATATTTAAATGTCTGTGACGCAACGGCCGGTCCGAGCCATCGCCAAACATTCAATGCCGCCCCATCTCTATCAGCACCAACTAAAAATGATGAAAATACAGCTAAACCAATTGGTAATGCAGCTTCTTTATGAGACTGATAGGTAGTTGTGAAGAAAATAATAAATGATATAAACATTGTACAGAGAAATTCAATGAAAAATCCTTGTAGTACGGTTGTTGTACCTAATGCCAAGGTTGGTGTACCTAATCCAGTTGTCTTATCATAGAGCAACAACAAAAAAGCGCCAGCAATTAACGCACCAATACATTGTGATATTAAATAACCAATTATTTCATATTTTTTCATTTTTCCAGTTAGCGCAAATGCGATTGTTACTCCAGCATTAAAATGTCCACCGGATATAGGGCCAAAAACATAGACTAACCATATTGTTACCAGACCATGAGCAGTCGACACTGTTAATAAATCAGGATATTTCGCAGCACAACCAGCACCAAAAAACACAAATATCAACGTTCCTATCAATTCACATATGAACTTTACAAATGATGTTGGACGTTGAGTAAAGCCATTCTCAATGCGCTTGCTAAATACAATTACTTGATCTTCATCTTGAATGTTTGCTTCTAAGTCAATAATTCGGGGAATTAAACGTTCGGTTGACATTGATAAAGTCTATGAACATAGAAAAAACAACTTCGAGGATTTTCTGGGCTTTTACGTCGCTTGTTAGAGAAGAGGAAAGCAAAAAGTGTTTTAAACCCAGAAGGATTTATAGTTCAAATTTTGCTTGAGAAGTAAAAGTAAAGCGGTGTTTCATGCAAGAAAATAATATTGTGATAGTGTCGAGATTATCCTCAATACAAATATAATTATTCCTTTTAACGTTTACTGATCCTAATAATATCGGAAGAAAAAAACTTAGTAAAGAAATCTTGTATTTTGTAGTAGAAACAAATAGGATATGAATGTTAACGTATAAATGGTTTTCTTATCCAAATGTAAATAGTCATGTAAAGTAAAAAGATAACCTTTTAGTGTTTTTTACTCTGTACTCACTTCCAAATCAAATTTTGAGCTCTATTCTGTTGTCTTGAAGTTCATTGAATGAGTATGAACAAAGCTACTTAAGTAAGTAAGTTTTATATGCCGTAGAACTATAAAAAGTGACTCGATCGCGATATTTAGTAAACTTTATACTAATCATTTGTAGATACCATCTTTTCTTCTCTTCTCTTTCTTTGTATATTTAACAAGAACACATAACTCTTGTTTATTCACATAATATACTCAAATGCATCAGCCACAAACCAGTTGAGACTAAAAAGTGTAGAGATGTTAACTGTCCAGGCGAAAAAGAATCGTTAGAAACGGCACAAAAAACGCGTTTTTTCCAAACGCGAGTTTTAGTGAACGATCGTTAAAACAGTCGTTTAAACGCGTTTTTTGTCGTTCAAAACTTTAGAATAACGCGTTCTTTGACAATGCTTTTGCTAATGATCGTTAAATTAACCGTTTTTTGGCATTTTTATTGAACGTGTTTTCTAACAACCTTAAAATGATCGATGAAACGCGTTTATTTTATATAAAAATGCGTTTTAACGTGTCGTTTCTAAACGCGTTTACAAAAAGAAAAAAATTCTAAGTTATATCATTTTAACGTCGTTAGAAAACGCCAGAAAACGATTAATTTAACGATCGTTAGCAAACGCGTTGTTCTAAAGTTTTGAACGACAAAAAACGCGTTTAAACGGCTCTTTTAACGATCGTTCGCTAATTCCGAAAAACGTGTTCTCAAATGAATAGACAAAACGCGTTTAAACGGCTCTTTTAACGATCGTTCGCTAATTCCAAAAAACGTGTTCTCAAATGAATAGACAAAACGCGTTTAAACGACAAAAAAATGTTGGTTTTGAAACCTTTAATGCTTTTTATAATCGTTAAAAACGAAAAAAAAACGCGTTGTGATAATTTTCAAAATTCATTGGCCGTGTCCCAACGTAGCTTCCAAAGATACCCTGAAAATTTTGATGGCGACTGGTTTTTATGAAATCTAAAAGGGAACTGATCTTTTTTGCAGAAAAACGTATTTTATTCCTCAAAAAGAAAAATCGATAGTGATGCGACTAACGTCTCCAGTAGAACGGGTATAGTCCAATTATGAGTCCAATGATTTTCACTATTGAAAATAAAATTCAAGTGATGAGTTAATGTGCAATTTAGGAAAAACTGTGTAATGTAAAACAATTTTCGCGAAAACTCTCTCTTGCACAAATAAAACTTCATCACGAACATATCTAACGGGTGTGCCATAATAAACTGCACGAAATGTTACTGCATTTTTTTCGTACTTCCTCTTCAAATAAAAAGTTTCTTTACATACCAAAAGATAGAGAATTTCAAGCTCTACAAAACCTACTATTCGAATCTCCGAGAGCATTTTTCTCGTTTGAGCACCATTCAAAATATTGAAGAGTGCTAAGTTGTCGAACTGCGACACACTGAAAATAGAAAAAACATTTTCGTTGATCC